TCTCTCTCTCTCTCTCTCTCTCTCTCTCTCTCTCTCTCTCTCTCTCTCTCTCTCTCTCTCTCTCTCTCTCTCTCTCTCTCTCTCGCTCTCTCTCTCTCTCTCTCTGTCTCTCTGCAAATGAGAGTGAGCGCTAGATCTATAAGTGTATACGCTTGTTCTCAAGTCTGCTGCTGTGCACCGGTCTCTCCTTCCTCCCATCTCCCCCTCCCCCTTCTCTCCTTCTCTCTCTCTCTCTATCTCTTTTTCTCTGCAAATTAGGGTGAGCTCTCTATGTGTGTGTATGCGTCTGTTGACAGGTTTGCTGCTGTGCATCTGGGGCATTCACCGCGATAACCAGCCAGCGCTCGCAGGCGGTCTCACAGGAATCATCGTACCGGCGCTCGTCGCGCCCTCTGTCTACTTCGGAGTGCGGCTCTCCCGGCAGCAGCGGAAAGACAGACGGGCGCTCTACCGCGTGGAAGTCTAGCGCTGCTTACGCCCCCTAGTGGCCACCACCTCTACCGATTCTGCTCACACATAAACGATCTCGCATAATCGCGCTCGCGCGGTTTTTTCCCGGAAGGATGGTAGGTGGCGCCCCTTGCGGCGGTGTCCAGCCGCGCGCGCATGACGAAATTCGTCAGATCATTCGCCCTCTACGAAATCAGTGTCGCAGTCAAGTGACAACGGCGATGGTGACAGCGACGACAGTGATGCGACACTCCGGTGCAGATGTCGCACGTCGGGCTTTCTCACGAAATGATACCTTTCTCTCGCACGTTCGCCTTCCCCACCGGTAGAGGGCGCGCGGAGCTCCGACCATGCACGGCAGGGGGCGCAGGAGGCAGCATGATGCTCCGTGCCACGTCGTAGCGACGTACACGTGCTCAAGGTCAAGGTCAAGGTCAGAGTCGACAGCGCGTTGCTAAGGTCGGCGCGTTGCTAAGGGCAGAGTGTGTGAGTCGTGGCGAGCCGTGTGAGCATGTGTAAATAAGGGCTTCACAGATGACGTCACTCACGTCTGCGGGCTGGCTTTTAACTTCCCCTAGACGCACGTCACGGGATACGTGGTCTGTGCTCGGAGCAGACGTGGACTACTATCCTATAGATACCAGAGTGACGGAGTGAGATACCAACCAGGGTGCCACCACATAGGATAAGGAATCTATACTGGGAGCGGAGTATCTGACTGAATGCCAGCTAGCAGAGGTCATTACTGGACGAGTGACGCACGACGCAGCGATCCCCACATTGTGGCGTGGATATCAATCGAAAGATGCTCACAGCAACGGAGTGATAGGTTCTCTCTCCATTCCTCTCTCCCTGTTTTTCTTTTTTTTTCTTACTCGCCTTCTCCTTTCCTCTCTCTTCCTCAAGCTATCTCTTTCTCCGATTCCTTCGCCCATCCTCTCTCCTCCTTGTCTCTCTACATACTTTTCTCTCTCTCTCTCTATTGCCCGCCCCTTCTCTCTCTCTACACACCTCGCTCTATACACCTCTCTCGTCTTTCATCTCCTTCGTTGTTCCGGCAAGTAGCTAACGACCATGGCTAAAGCCGGAGCAGACTATCGGCAGTAGCTAACCAGCTAATGAGAAATAAGCGCACAGTTTTCACACGCCGCGCCAAAAACACACTCCAGGGCTCGTGCGTGAAATTCCTCGCCCACTACAATTTTCGCGGCACTCCACGCAAGCTTCTCGTCGCGAGGGGTCGCGTCGAGCGTCATTAGCGCTCCGTAAACGATGGCGGTAATTCTCGTGTTACCGTCTGCGCCTCGGTGCGCGCCAGTGAAGCCGATGATTCTAACGACGCATCCACGGGGTGGAGGTATTTGACTCACGGATGCCCTCAGCTACGTGCCTTAGCATATGTGGCAGCGCCGACTTGACAGCGCATGCGCCCGCCTCGCTCTTACGTCATCATCGTCCCTCGCTGCCTCTAATATGTCGCCGCGGAGTGATACACGCGATGACGCACACACAGTGTGACGATGACGCAGATCGTGCGTGCACGTCACTGACGGAACGCCGATTCTGCTTACGTCACGACGGCGGTAGACAGACGATCGCTCGGCGCGCAGACGCTGGAGGCTGTGCGGGTCTACGCAAGACAAAGCGCCGCCCGCAGCTGTGTTGTCCGACCGCGGGACATCTGGATGCGACAGACAGCGCAGATTTCCGGGATGTGAGATGCGGGAGGGAGGGGGGGGGAGATAGTATCTGACATGTCTCTATATGTGAATGAACCGTAACGCTACGTGTGTCGGGCGTCTACTGCAACCAACGAGTCGATATCGCACACAACTGTCAATGATGATGGTTGGACGTAAGAGAGAGAGAGAGAGAGAGAGAGAGAGAGAGAGAGAGAGAGAGAGAAGAGAGAGAGAGAGAGAGAGAGAGAGAGAGAGAGAGAGAGAGAGAGAGAGAGAGAGAGAGAGAGAGAGAGATGGAGGAAGAGATACAGTGAGAACGAGATAGACAGATAAAGGGAAAGAACGAGCGAGAAAGAGAAAGGGTGAGAGAGAGAGAGTCTGAGTGTAGCACATCCACACCAGCAGCG